ATATTCTAATATGAAAATATTAATATAATATATATGATAATATAATATATACGATAATATAATAAAAAGAAGATAGTAAGGTTAGCCTTAAAGTGAAAAATTAAGTGAGCAGGGCTCTTAAAAGAATTACTTATCATAATGCAATGATATAAAGCAATTAATAAATATTTATAAATATGAACAGTTAAGCACAATGATATACTATCAGCTTTGTGCACTAGTAAATACAGTAATGTAGAAGCCATCAAAATAAACCAGTATGTTAGAACATGTAAGCAGTTACCTACCTTTATTTCTCTAAACCATCCTTTGTTTTCATTCTTGTCAGACTTAAATGATTTAAAAGCAAAAGAAATAGCCCAGAAGACAATATAAATCTAGGAGTTTATGACATGATTATTCCAAGAGGATAGAAAAGAAAGAATTAGAAGCAGTAATTTTGTTTTTAAATTGAAAGAAAAATTCCATAAACTGAGAAGACAACTTGAATCTACAGAAAAACAACATGCTACAGATTGTACCTCTAGGCATCTCCTAGTTATATCCGACTTCTAAAAGTGTAGGAAAACAGAGAAAAGCTCACAGCTTCTAGTTCAGACAACAGGACTAATAAAATGCTTCCCATGGACTGCATCCAGAACACTCCTTGGAGGCAAGGACAGTAAAGCATCATTTTACATACTTTTCTCCATGGATGTTATCCTTTATGTCATTCCACAGCTCATACGGTCTTCAATCATTAGTGTTCAGCACCTCAAACCTGTTCTTGAGATGGTTTTTAAATTTAGGTAGGATAGATTTAAGATTATATTTTAGTTCTTGTGGACTTGTTTTTGTTTTCATCATCTTCAATTTGAACTTTTACATGAGTACATTTTAAGTCTATATTCCACAGTCAGCACCCAGCTTACTAGAACTGCTGATACTGAACTTCTCCAACAATTCTTTCCATATATGTTGTTGTTGTTATGTGCCATCGAATTGCTTGCGACTCATAGCAACCCTATGTACAAGAGCCCTAAACGCCATTCTATCCTGTGCCAACCTCGCCGTCTCAGACACACTCATTCCCACCACTCCACTCACAGAATCGATACATCTCATCGAAGGTCTTTCTCTCCTGCACCGTCCCTCCACTCTCCCAAACATGATGTCCCTCTCCAAGAACCAGCCCTTGCAACATGCCCGAAGTATGTCAGATGAAGCTTCTGAATCCTTGACTCCAAGGAGCATTCTGGCTTCACCCTCTCCAGGACAAACCTGTTTGTTCTCCTAGCAGTCCATGGTATATTCAACACTCTTCTCCAGCACCACAGCTCAAAGGCATTGATTCTCCTTCTATCATCATTCACTGTCCAACTCTCTGATGCATAGCACGTAATTGCAAAGACTATAGCCTGGATCAGGCGCACCTTAGTCTCCAGCCTGATGTTGTTGCTCTTCAGTACTCTCGAAGGTCCCTCACAGCTGACTTTCCCAATGCAACTCATCTCTTGATTTCCTGGCTGCTGCTACCAAGAATATTGACTGTGGAACCAAGCAAACTAAAATTGTTAACTATCTCAGTCTCTTCACCATCCATACACATGCTGCCAATTGGCCCAGTGGTGAGAATCTTTGCTTTCTTGATATTGAGCTTCACTCCATATTGAAGACTGCAGTCCATGACTTTCTGCAGCAAGTGCTTCAGGTCCTCCTCAGTTTCAGCAAGCAGCGTTGTGTCATCTGCATAACACAGGTGCTGATGATTCTTCCACTAATCTTGATCCCACATTCCTCCTTGTACAGCCCAGCATCTAGGATGATCTGTTCTGCATACAGATTGAAAAGGTATGGAGACAATATACATCCCTGACGGACCCGTTTCTTGATTTTGAACTATCCGGTGTCTCCCTGCTCTGTTCTGAGGACTGCCTCTTGGTCCAAGTATAGGTTTCGCATTAGCACAATCAAATGTTCTGGAATTCCCATTCTTCTCAGAGTCAGCCATAGCTTGTGATCCACACGGTCAAAAGCATTGGCATAGTCACTGAAGCACAGATAGACATTCTTCTGGTATTCTCTGCTTTCTGCCAAGATCCATCTAACATTAGCTATAATATCCCCAGTACCATGACCTCTTCTAAATCCAGCCTGCACATCTGGCAGTTCTCTGTTCACCTATTGTTCCAAACATTTTTGGACAATTTTCAGCAGAATCTTGCTTGCATGTGATATCAATGATACTGTTCGATAATTTCCACACTCTGTTGGGTCACCTTTCTTTAGAATGGGAACAAATATCGATCTCTTCCAGTCAGTTGGTCAGCTGGCTGTTCTCCAGATTTCCTGGCACAACTTAGTGAGCACATCCAGGGCAACGTCTGTTTGTTGAAATAAATCCCTGTTATGCTCTCAACTCCTGGAGCCTTGTTTTTTGGCCAGTTCCTTCATAGCAACTTGAACTCCTCCTTCATCACCATAGGCTCCTGTTCATATGTTATTTCATGAAATTCCTCTGTGTCAGCCAATTCCTTCTGATACAGTGACTCTGTGTACTCCTTCCATCTTCTTTTGATACTTCCTGGATCATTCAACATTCTACCCAAACTATCTTTAAGTGTTGCCACCCATGGCTTGAATTTGTTTTTCAACTCCTTTAGCTTGCTAAGCGAGTCTGGCCCGTTCAATTTCTGACTCCAGCTCTCTGCACATTTCACTATAGTATTTTGCTTTGTCATCCCATGTTGCCTTTTGAAATTTTCTGTTCAGCTCTTGGATTTCTTCCTTTACCTTTGGCTTCTCAGCGCTCTAATGCAATACTCAGAGTCTGATCTGACATCCATCTTGGTCTTTTCTTCTTCTTCAGCCTTTGTAATGATCTTTTCCATTCTTCATGGACGATTTTAATGATATCCTCCCAGAGCTCATTTGGTCTATGCTCATTGGTACTCAAGGCCTCAAACCTGTTCCACATATATAGTCATTCTAAATCCCATGCAGTTCATCAGGTGAGGTTCTTGTGAATAGTTGTCATTTTTATTTTAGAAAATTATTTGCAATGAACGGTGCAGAACTCAATCATTTGATCTTCAGCCTCACTTCTGTCACCAAGCCTGTAATTTCCAACAAGACCTTCTTGTCTGTCTCCAACTTTTGCATTCCAGTCACTAACTGTTATTAATGTAATCTTAACTGCATGTTCTGTCAATTTCAAATTGCAAACGTTGGTAGAAATCCTCTTTGGCTTTAGTTGTTGGTGCATATATTTGAATAATAGTTGGATTAATAAGTCTTCCCTTTATGTGTATCTCAGCATTGTATTTCAGGAGAGATCTTGAAATGGTCTTTTTGATTAAGAATATACCACCGTTCTTCAATGTTTCACACTTGGTTTAAATATGACTGTCTGACTCAAACTGGCCAATACCAGGCCATCTCAGCTCACTAATGCCTAAAATTAGAAGATGACATTGTTGACAATTTCAATCTTTTCTCCATCTATCATGCACCAGTAATGAGGATTTCTGTTTGCTTGATGCTGAGATACAATTCCTAAAAGACCGTAGTTTTTTTTATCTTCTGCAACAATCGTTTTACGTTCTCACTTGCAGTGAGCAAGGTTGTGTCATTTGC